GTTATGGCTTTTCTCAGCATATACATATTAATGTCACCATCTATTGAACAAAATGTTCGTAAGATAAGTAAAAATTCACTGAATCTTAACATGCTTTGGAAATTAAAAATTTTTTTGTTATTATAAAATGATAGCTTTAGAAACTCTTGCAAAGTGAAATTTCTTATGTTGCTGTTTTTGCAAATTTCTGAGAACCTTTATGTATCAAATGTCTGAAACTGTATGAAATCAACAGTCATTCCCTAAATACATAGCATTAATTTATTTTTTTTATTTTTATTTGTCCAAAAGGGCTTTAGTTTTAAAACATGATTTTGCATTGTTTCACTTTTCATTGGAAGCTGTTGCCATTTGATAAAATGTGAGATGTTTATTTATCTTTCAGATTGCATCTCTCTGTTACAGATTAAGATACTAAGCTATTTAAAAGCAATAGATGCAGTTCTTAAAAAATTATTTTTTATTTTTTTAATCTGATTGATTAAAATAAAAATGCATGGAATTCGAGATATATATAATTAAAAATACTCAATATTTTTATAGAATGATATTATAACATTTCCCCCCCCCCATTTTTTAACTGTACATAAGATAAACAGTGTTCCTGTATGGCTGTAATATTTTATAAAATATTTCACTTTTCCACCTGAGCCATCTCTATTAATAATCTTTTCTGATAAACCATAATATTAAATTTTAATACAGCTCTTTTGGGTGATCATAAAAATCTGAATCCAATCAAGTTTTATTTTTTATTTATTTACTAATTTTTTTAATACTCATAATAGAAATAATTAAGATTATTGAAGTATTTTAAATGTTTGTGGCACAACGTACTTTTGCTTGAAGATGCTGCAAGATCTTGATAGAAGTTATCAAACTATAAATACAGTTTTCATTTGAAGTTTAAAATTAATTTTGTCAATGTAGGAATACATTGCAAAATGCCTTTGTATTTTGCCTGTTATCAATTTGAATTGTGGTGACATTAATCTGTAAGAAGCATTCTTTTTTAATTCCTGTGTGCTGTGTGTGAACTGTGTGTGCTCTAACTCTCTCTTCCTCAAAACCTCCAGCAGCCACATCCCAGCCCATACGACCCCAGTCCCCTCCTGGCCGGATTGCAGATTATGAACCTCAAATAGCCCCAGAACATAAAGATTCGCCATACTCTGCCAAACTCACTTCCACTGTCATCTACACTTCTCAAGAAGGCCCAGGTATATAAGGATTACTGAAAAGAAGCTGTTGATGTTTAAAGATTAATTGTGTTATTGTGAACTTCCAGAGTATTTTTTATTCCATTTATTTCTTTTCACTGCTTGTAAAATTTCACAATTTAAGATTGCTGAGCATGACAAGATTTTAACAAATTAATTTTAAAAAAATTATTAAACTTTTGTGTAACATTACCTTTAATACTTGTCGTTACCTTAATGGAATTAAAAGTGACTTCATGTGATTATCATTTTTACAATTTAACAAACTTTAAATGAACTAGTGATTGTAATGTAGAAATTACTACATGACAATACCCTAAAATATGCCTTATGATCAATAAATAAGTAATTAAACTTATTTTAATATATATAGATGTGCGCTAGCATTTTTCCCCTCTGCTCTCTTATTAGTACTAAAACCTGATGTTTTACTACTTGTCAGTATTCTTTTGTTGAATCTTCATTGAATAATATTATGAAAAAATTTGTGTCCTAATTTTTATTACATGAAGATCAATTATGTTATTTAATCCTCTAAGTGGTTTGAGTTTTTGGATAAACATCATTTTTAGCTAAATTGTGAAATTACTTATTTTAGTTTTAATTTTCATAAACTTATTAATGATATCTACATCATTAAAGAAATTAAGAAAGGAAAATATTTTAAATTATAAGCTAATAATATACCAAGTGGCAAAAAATCTCATGACCTGACAAAAGCGGTTATGCCATCGGGCCACTCGGGCTTAAAGCAACTTTCATCAAGATTGCCACCTCTTAAAGTTTTAAGTGACCTTTTCCAAAATAGTAGCACAAAATTATGAAGGAAAAAAATGCCAGTTTGTTCTCTTTCAGAACTTTCAATATTTATTTCGTGTTTAAAGTGCAACCTTACTAGGTAAAATATGCAAAATTGATTTTGCTTTGAGAATCAGGGTTTGAAATATATTTTTACATGCATTAAACTTCACAAAATGTTTGACATTTATTCTTATGAAGAAAGTGATGTGTGAAAATCATGACTGAGTAAACATTTAGTCAATTATTTTGGGTAAGTAGTCAATTATTAGCAGATTGATTAACATGTAGTCAATTATTTGGTACATATCTATTGTAACAGCTTTCTAATAATTGATTTCCTGACTCAGATCATTTTCTAAAGAATAAATCTTAAAACTCATCAGGAAAGGAAAAAGTAGGATGAAATCATCTTATAGTTAAAAGAACAAAATGATTTGACATGTGTAGGGAAACTTATTTGAGATATTGTAGTATAGCAGAAGATCAAAAAATCTGCACTGTTTCTGACTTGGTGTTGGGTGGATTGTAGAGTTTTGGGAATTTCAGGCATAAATGAAAAATTGTTGGATTTAGACTTAGAACAGCCAGAGTAAAAATAAGTTAATAAAAAATGTGTATGAGGACAATTAATTTCATTTTGACATTTTAATATAGAAATATTTTTTAAGTATATTATCATGAAATTATTTTTTACATTTTTCAAACATATGTGTTACAGTGGTTTGTTTCAAAACTTAAGAATACCTCGGATTTGAGTTTCCCCTTTACAGTTGTACAGAATCGTTATTTCTTGATGAATCACACAGCTCTATTGTTTTTAATTTGCCTTATCACTATCCTGTGATTAATACTGAGTTTATTTACAACTTATCGTCATAATGCGGTGAAAAAGCACTTAATTCTGGCCATAATAAAATTTCAAAATTCTGATACTTTTCAGTTAATGGAAAAATGTTTACTTAAATGGTGGTAAAATGTTTGCTTAAAATATTAATGGCAACCTTAATAAAATATGTAGGTTGGGGCAAAAGTCATGGCAACTGTTTCTTTTTCTTGAAGATACCAGTCCGGTTGAAAAATATGACATATACAGACGAAAGAACAAGGTCTTAACTACATGTATGGACAATGAATAGCACTGAAATATCGTAACACACGAATTTATTATGGTAGTATACAGGGCAATATAGCCTTCACAGTGCAAAAGAATGATAACACAATACACATAAAGCTGACATGACAAACCTGGGACCTAAAGACCCTCATGTAGTCCCCTGCTTTCACCACATGCTGCCAACGATTGTGGAGGTGTTGAATACCATCAGCCTCAGCATTTGCTGCCCCATGTGTGAATCGGGTCATCTGTTGGCGCACAGCATTAGCAATGGCCACTTATGTTTCAAAAACTGCCTACCACGTATTGGTTCTTTAATCTTGGGAATGAGATCAAAGTCACAGGGCGAAAGGTCAGGAGAGCACCGGTGGGTGCTCCAATTCTTTCCATCCCCAAAGTCGGAGTAGCTGCCGTACACACTCTGCTTTAATGTGGTCTTGCATTGTCGTGCAAAATTATTGCACTGTCACAAGATCCGGACATTTATCCTGAACACCACATCGTACCTGTCACACTAGGAAGTCCCGTAGTACTGTGCGGTCACTGTTCTGGCATGAGGAACAAAGTGGCAAACAATAACACTCCTGACGCCATACGCGACGATCACCATCAATTTGACTGGGGAAGGATTCTGATGCTAGCTCATTATGCCATATCCTGTGGACGGTGGGTTCTCGATGCCACTTGCCCTTTCTAACTCCAGTAATGTTCCATCGTCTGTCTTCATCCATGAGGTGCTCGATGACGGCCCGTGCCAAATCGGTCCGCACACTCGCAGGTCGTCCCGAACGTTGCTCATCACTGGTTGACACACGTCCTTGCTGAAACTTTCCTACCCACCGTGCTACTGTACAATATGGTAGGGCATTATTCCCAAGGGCTTCTACTAATTCACTGTGACATTCCATCACATTTCTTCCTTGGAGAACGGCTATTTTGATGTAAGCACGCTGCTCAACACGCATTACTTCCATCTCGCACGGCACTCACCAACTGACTGATTTCTGTAGAGAACTGACTGGCTCTGTAGAGCCCTCGCTACTACAGAGCCAGCTATCACTGAGCCATCTGTTGTTCTGCATACACACTATGCCTACAGATAACTTCCTTACGACACATATACGTTTCTGTGATCCGTTCACATATCTACAAGAAAAAAAAATAGTTGCCATGACTTTTGCCCCAACCCTCGTACATTTAAGAAACATTGCTTCTCAAGAATACAGTTGTACATGAATATCTGTGAATATTATTACAGAACCTTCAATAAATGATTCCATTGAACTAGATCTGGTATGTAGTTGTTTCTTTGGCATGATTTAGACTCTTCATCATTTGTTAAATCCATCTTGGTTCCTTTGTTAATATCTTGGTTCCTTTGTTCCAGTCTTGTGAGAAATGTTTGGCATTGTTCGTTATATAAATTTGCTACTGTTAGGGGACATATTTGCAGTCATTTTAGTTCCTGTCTACTCATGGAAAATTACCAAAATTTCAATAACTGCATTGTTAAGTTTGATTAAACAGCATAGGGTTGATCTTCAGTTATTGATACAAGTAAAGTGAATTTGACAAAATATTCATTTGGCTGTAGTTTTTACGATCTCGTCAACAGACTATGTTATAAGCTTCATGATGATGTTTTAATTCTGAATAAGGAAATATGTTATTTTTATGTCCCAATGAATGCTAGATGTTCTCAAAGTCATCTGCATTCAGTTGCGTAGTTAGAGTGAGACGAGGGAGGACATCTGCCCCAGGTGCATCATCCAGGGGGCACCAAAATGATATTACAAAATTTTAGAATGAAATATTTTGCATTCTTTGCACACAGAAGGGGGTGCAAAATCTTCAATTGTCCCTGGGTGCTGAAAACCCTAGCTGTGGCTCTGTCTGCATTCATCTCTTAATATGGTTGTGCATATTTTAAGTCATTGGATTTTCAATCTTCTACTGTATAAAATTATACAGTCAAAAGTCGTTAATTCGGACACCCATAATCCGGAATGATCTATAATCCGGACCTCAAAGCTACAAACTTTCTGCGCATGCGTCACATTGACGCATGCGCGTAAGACCTTTACGGCTGCAAATATGCGTGTGCGCATGCGCAAAATACGTTTATGCATGCGCGTTTAATGTATAACGGACGGTATAAGCTAAGCTAAAATTATCTAATTCAGTTAATGTTGCAGATTGCGTTGTTCCTTAATCTTCGAATTGGATCCGGCTTATTATTTTTTGCAGACTGTTAGAGCAATTTTATAAAAGTAAGCTTGAACTTTCGATTATGTCAAATAGAATTTCCGATGATATATATTTACTAATAATGTAAAGGATCTACAAAGCAAAAGTATGTTTCGAAGTCCATTAAACAAAAAGTGGAATTGCTGCAAAAAATGGATAAAGGCATATCCTTTGTTTCTCTAACCATTCTGAAATCTGTTTATCAATTTCACGCTGCTCTGCGGCGGGAAAGGGGGGGGAACGTCACGGTCGCGCAATGAATTGGAAGTTGATCTGTCAGCACTATCCTTATCTTCAGGGCAGATGTTTTTATTTTATTTGGCTTATAATTCCTTACTAAATGTAGTATTTCATCTCGATGTACTCCGTCTTTGATATGATTTAAATCAAATTCCTCGTCATTATAATTCGCTTCCGATAGTGAAGAAAGTGACACAGAGGTTATTGAAAACGAAAAAAATTTCGATTGACAAATTAGTCGGTATTCTCGACACAGCAATTATAGGACTTGAACAGCGGAACTTTGTAACTGAACAAGAAATTATGTCTGTTTATAGAATTAAAGAAATTATCACATAAAAAACGAAGCAAAACAACTTACATTGAAAGAAATGTTTAATAAAGTAAAACAATAAATATTAAGCTTTTTTTTTTTTGTAAATTTTGATACCCTTTAGATCATAATTGTTCTTTATTTCATAAATTACGGTTTCATATTTTTAATTTTATAATTTCTGCATGACATCTTATCAGATTTAAACTGATCATCTATAATCCGGAAAAATCGATAATCCGGAATCGCGCGAAGTCCCGACGAGTCCAGATTAACGACTTTTGA